ATCTGTTTAAAATCTGTTTTTCCGTTAATCAGCTGTCACACCTCTACGAACGACAACTCTCAGAAGTTGACAAACTTGTGCGAGCTAAGGACTAACGAGGTCTTACCTTTTAACGTGTGATTCCTAACACGGTTGAAGAATCATCCCAGCAAAATAGAAAGAGAAAAATATCTGATCGAGGCAGGTATCGAACCCACGGTCTTCCGATCGTGAGTCGGGCGCACTACCACCGCTGCCAATTCCACAACAAAATATCCATCTGCTTGGCTTTCTTTATGTGAATTCTTTTCATTTTATTTTCACTCAGTATGTATTTTCCATGGCAAATCATTGAAATATTCTCTTCTCTCGAACAGAAGTTTATTACCGAAAAACACATGGATATTTTAGAATGACAGGACGCCACTTGGGTAAGATTTTTATGTATTAGCCCAAGTGGTTAATCTTCTGTGAATATATTTATGACCCCGACCATATTGTCACTAGCGATTATCATCGAAAGGGACTTGAGAAACATTTTTTAAAACTGAGGCATTGATTCATTCTGGGATTTCGGTCGGACTATTCCTAATTTTTATTCTTCTCGCCATGAGGTTTCACTATTTTCTGTTTGTTCGTTTTGTTGGTGTTCCTAATAAATTTTATTATTTGTAAACGCTGCGTCCGATTAATTAATAATTCACCTATCACCCTGTCCCCGACAAAGCTATCCAGATTGACATTCGTGGTTTGAGTTTTCTGTCTTCGTAAGGGAAGATGTCATAACCAGTTTTTTTTTAGTTTAAAATTTTTAAAAGAGGATCTTATCCACACGTGGAAATTTCACAAGTCGCCTCTATTGGTTAGGACTGACAGACAGTTGACATGACATATGTCTGTGGAAATTTCAGTAATAAACACCTTGAAATGTTAGTTTTCATCAGAATAATATATTTCTTCCAAAGTCACTCAAGTCACTTATTATGTATACCTACTTGGCAATTCGCAAATGAATGATGCTACTTCTGGTCCTCCACAGGTCATTGGTTTCCATAAAAAGTCCTTGGCTGGATCCATGGCTACGCATAATGGGTTACTGGATGAGGATATGGTCTCCTGCCAGTGACCCTCACCACTCAAAGGTTGGGAATTCCTAGAGAAAAATCTGTGAGTTGAAGGATAATATCAGTCGTCGCTTTTCAGCGAGTATTTTTTATCAACATGCAGTCTACCATTTTTCAACACATATTACTTACGTCCATGTAAAGTTAGGTTTTTCTGGGATTTTGGATAATCCTATCCACACATTATCGGTGATGTCGAGCTCTTTTAGATATGCTCTGATGGCATCGTACTCTGAACTGCTATCAGCTGAAAAAAAACAAAGATCGTGAATATCTGGGATTCAGAGGAAGTAACTAATTCTAGGTATGTACCTAGAAGATGTCAGCCTCGAATCAATGTTTTCAAAATAAATCACACCATGAAGGATATTTGGAATAATAATAATATAAATTGAATAGAACTGGCCGATACTTGATGAAAATCCATATTAAATCACTAATCAATACAGTTTCTTGTATGATTTTCACTATAAAAGGGTTTTAAAAAAACCGCGACACGTGTTTCGCTATACAAAAGCTATTGTCGCGGTTTTTGTAAAACCCTTTCATACAATAAACTGTATTGATTAGTTTTTTAATAATATAAATTTAATATGTCTTGGCACAATCATGTCGCTGGAATTGCGAAGGCTGCTTCTCAAGAGCTCGGAATACTTGTTCCGAACCAGAAAACTGTACACACCTCGGCAACTTTTGATAATTTATAAAGCTCAGATTAGACTTTCTTTTGGAGTATTGTTCCCATGGATGGAGCTATGCCCCTAAGCATACCCTGAAGCTGCTGGATTCCGTCCAGAAAAAAGTCATCTGCCTGACCATTACTTGCAACCTTGATAGTTTAGAACATCGAAGGTGGAGATTTGTCTGTCTTTTATAGATAGGAGGTGTTCAAGTGAATCAGCGCATTTGATTCTACCAAGAGCGGTACATATCAGAAATATGCGACTGACTGTGGCTGCTCATCGTTTTGAGGTTCAACTTAGTACACCTCGAACTTCACTGTTTAGGAACTCTTTCATTTGAAAAACTGCGTTTATGTGGAATAAACTTCCCGAGGACGTTTTTCCAAATGAATTTAATCTCTAGCGATTCAAATCCAACGTGAATCGCTACTTTCGCACAGGCAACGCTCTTAGAGCGCCTTACAAGTTATATCCCCTCTCTTTTAATCTGGTCCAGAATTCATTGATATTTTTAAGGCGATTTTATGCGAGGTTATTTCTGTTACCCAATCTACTCTGAAGTAGGTTCAAGTGACCTCTGGTATCAATAAACGGTTTTTGAACACACGTGACACCAAAGCACTGTATGTGGTTTCTGTGAGCATATATCTGGAAATAATTGATTATTTGATAAAAGTTTTCAAATCAATTCGTTAAGTTGTGTTATTTTCTGATAATACAATGACTATATTATGATTTGAAAATCTCTCCGTAATGTTTATTATCGTGCATTAGTCGATAATTAAGCCTTTTCTGTATGGTATAATTTAATGAATTATTCAACAACTTCTCTACGAAATGTTGACATCTACTAAAACACCCCCAGCAAGCTGTAACAAAGTACTCTCCTGTAAACCTCTTCGTCTTGAACAGGAGCTATTATTTTAATATTCAAGAGCTACTTGACCGCGTTGGGAGTCGTGGAAACACTTGTTTTTTTCTCAACATCCGAATGAAATATCAGATATTCGACGGGAGCACTTCGAGTCGATTTTAATTACTTTTTTACTGCGTCATTATTCTCTTCCGTTTTTCCCTTTTCTCGGAATTTTATGCTGCGTGTATCTTTGTGTCCGGGTCCAATCAATATTGCGACTGTTTCTGATAGGTGTGTCAGGCCGGACGCTAATGTGGCGGATGGGAAAATGTTTATTACTTTTGACGATTCCAAGCGACAATGAGGTTGTAATATCGACTTATACAGAGGCGATGCTTCAGCGCAAAAGACTTACCTTTACATTAGGGTCAACTGTTCACATTGATGTAATGATTCATTCATGGAATAAATCATTTTATTCAAGTAAATAATAATTAACTTGAAGTAGAGTTATGATTTATATTTGAAATCATATGCACAAAGTCCTAAAAATGACTCACGGAGAAACTCTACACACAGGTAGATGACATTCGACGTTTTAATACCAACATGTACGGTACTTTCCACTATACTGGGAGTTTCATACAATATATTTGCATAATGAGTTTCTGGAAAGATGAATAGGAAGGAGGAGATTAATTTTATGTTCCTGGTCTAAGCCCGTTGGATTTTTTGTGAGGTTTTTATAAAATATTGTCCATAAAAATAAAAAGGAAGTGCTGAAAGAACGCACACATCAGAACAAAACAATTGTCTCCAGAAGAGCGTTTCGCTACCTAAGTTTAACTCTTGCAGGGTCATCTGCAGATGACACTACTTGGTTATAGGAACGTGCGTAGACACATTATTTTTGTTATGATGTGGGAAAAGTGGTCTCAATAGGTTCATTGAACTAGAATTTAAAAAATGCATTATTCTTTCATCTAGTGATCACGTAATTTTCAATATTCTAATTTCGCATTATGGGAAGAATTTAGATGAATTAATGTTTTATTGGGTATTGCGTTATTCAGTTGCAAAAAAAATTGGTATATTTATTTTCTTCCTTTTGGTTACAGGTGATTTTTTTGAGGTCATTGAGCTTATAAAAAATAGTGAGATTGTCACTTGTTATTTTTTTTTCGTACTCAATTTTGTTAATTATAGCGAAAAACTGTGAAGATTAAAGTAAATCGAGTCTTATTCGTTATACCGAGTGCTCCAAGTTCGATTTGTTAAATTGTGTGGAAATCCATAATTTTTTGTAAATTCAGGAAACTATCTGTACGAATATCATTCGATCTAAATAGGTTCTCAAATAAATATTAATTTTTTTTTCACTTTGAGAAATAACGATCTAGCAATCAGTAATAGATGCTCGTTGCTCATGATATTGCTGATTAACAAAGTTTTCGGCATTGTATGAGAATTCAACGATACATTTCTAATTTCTACCTTATTCTATACCTACCTACCTTGAATTATTAATTACACACAAAAGCATTTGCCTAATAACAAAATTCTTAATATAATGAGATTGCATGCATCATGATAGATTTTATAAATTCGAAAACTTTAGTTTAAAGATCTAAATTTTAGAATTCATGGGAATTATGTTCATTTAAATCGGTTAAACAGGTTAGTCTAATGTTTTTAACGGCTGTAAAACTCTGTAATCGCTGCCGTCAACAATCTCATTGTTTTTATGTAGTGAGATGAATAATCTGGAAGAAAGTAGTAACCAAGTCAGTAAAATTACGAAACTTCAGTGAAAGAATATATCTCTCTGAAACCGTCTTATAATATTCCCCATCTCTTTTCAATAATTCAGTCCTCAATTGTACATCTATAAGTGAATGTCCATCAAATGGCTTGTCTATGATTAGATTTGACAGTTTTGACAGTGTTGTGCTGTTATGAAACGTATATTTGAATTGACGTAATTCAGTGGATCGTGATTTTTTGGAAATAGTGAATCTCTGACAAATACTAACTTCAATAGTGTGAAGTGCCAGAGCAGTTCCCACAACTCTAAAAGCTTGGACAGTAATCACGGTAAGTCGATTTGTAAAATGAATTATTTCCCAAGTTTTCTGCATCGTACTTTTTTGATCTTAGAGAATGTATTTCAACATTTTTCTGAAAGGATTCAAGTCCTCGCTCTTCGCAACCAATCGAAATAACGAAAATAGTTGTTTTTGTAATAGTGCAGACGTTAACTTCTTACAGTCATTGTTTGATTAAAAAGAGTACTTGGAAGTTGATGAGTACATCTGTAGTTACGGGCAGGTGTGCCATTTTGTGGAGAATACAGATTTTATCTACTCATGGGGTCCAGTTAGTCCAAGAAATTTTTGAGTATTTCCGTCATAAATAGTGAATCAATTAGACCGCACAAAACGTTGAAATTGAAACGGGATTATCGTGGTTATACTGACAACAGATTTTCCCTTGATCGGTTATGATGCTTTTTTTCCGTTATACAGTTCAGACTTTGGAAAACTGGATTTATCCGACCCTGCAATATAAAGAAAGTTATTTACATTTTGGTGTCAAAATTTTAGACACCAATGACAGGAAATAAGTACTAGTTGGATCCCTTGCCAATAACTCTTCAGCTAGTCGGTCTGTCTGTCTGTTTTTCCGTTAATCAGCTGCCGCTCCCATACGAACGACAACTCTCAGAAGTTGAGAAACTTGTGCAAGCTAAGGACTAACGAGGTCTTACCTTTTAACGTGTGATTCCTAACACGGGTTGGACGATAGCAAGTGAAAATCGATCGTTCAGATTAGGGCTTGAACCACCGACCAACACAGCAGTCAATTTGAGAGAGTGAACAAAGCACCCACGTCGAACCGCCTGGCTACCGACCTCGTTTTTTGTTTTTGTCTGAGCAAAAACATTTTCATTACTATAAGGAAATTAATATTTTCCTATTATTACTCTCAAATATCGTACATAGTAGGATCTGGTAAAAGCCTGCCGGGAAACAACTACTTTCACGACTAATACTGCGATGCAAGACTATCCCCTATGAGGATAGTCTGTGAGGATATGCTTTTCGCTCATCCAGCAGCAAAACCACGCTGAAATCAATCTAATAGATCATACCAGTTTCGAGGTATTACTTCTCAGTTCAGAAAATGATTCAATAAATTTTCTGGACTTGACCATAACAAAAATTGATAATAAACAATATTTTCCTTTTTTCGTGAACCATCCCATACGGGTATTCCTATTCATATTAACACGAAGTAGCAGAATTTGAGAGTATGATCCAAAGACTAGTGAAAGGACGAATCGCGATCAACACTGATTCATATAGCAATCTAGTAATTTTTTATTCTTCAATGTTTCACATTGGTTAGACAAGAAGAAAATTTTAAGCACACATGAAAAAACATAGAAAAATCTTGCAAGACGGAAAAATGAATTCAACGTTTGTTACTCACATCTTTACAGAGGTATATGCGTTCAATCATGGATTCAAAACTCTTCATTTCCAGAAAAGAAAGATTCGGAACTCAACATTCTGGAAAGTATGGAAATCAATTAATTCAAAAAGTCACAACATCTTATGATTGAATGAATTGATTTGAATAATTAGCCTTCGCTAAATATTTTTCTACCAGGAAACCATATCTAGAATAAACGACTGATTGATTTTA